TCAGTTGCTGAGAAAATTGCTTTGTCTAGACAAGCTTAATTGCTCCTCTGGCTGCTGCAGGCATGGATCATACATGCGGGCTTATCCATTTGTTGTCAAACTTCACATGCTTCGGGAGATAGAAGACTTCCATAAACTTCTCCTTTGATGATTCATTCTTGGAGAAATCGTTTCATCTAAGTGATCAGGGATTCTTAAAAGTTGTGGAGAACTGGGAAAATCGGCTAAAATTTACACAGCCATCCCTTTGGGCAAGGGAGCCACTACTGGCTTTCCGAAGGCTGGTATTTGGTGCCAGTGGTCTTGGTGCTGAAGTTGGGAACTTCTGGCTTCAGTATGCAAAGCTCTGTCGGTTAGCTGGTCATTATGAAACAGCAAATAGGGCAATGCTGGAAGCCCAGGATTCAGGTGCTCCTAATGTCCGCATGCAGAAAGCTAAGCTTCTTTGGAGTACTAGGCGATCTGATGGTGCAATTGCAGAGCTGCAGCAGTCTCTACTGAACATGCCTGTAGAAGTTGTTGGATCTGCTGCAATATCATCAATCACTAGCCTTTCTCTGGTCCCACTGAATGCACTACCTGTACTTTGTGATACCCAAGCTTCGAATGAGAGCAAAGATATTGCCAAAACCCTTCTTCTGTATTCTAGATGGATCCATTACACTGGACAGAAGCAGAAAGAAGATGTGATAAGTCTTTATTCCCGGGTGAGAGAACTGCAGCCCAAGTGGGAGAAAGGATACTTCTATATGGCTAAGTATTGTGATGAAGTTTTTGTTGATGCAAGAAAACGGCAAGAAGAGAGTTCTGAGCCGGGGACCAGGGTAATTCCATCAACTTCCGTTTTTGTTGCTTCTCCAAATACAAGCACTGAGAGACGCTGGTGGTCTTACCTCCCTGATGTTCTGCTGTTCTATGCAAAGGGGCTTCACAGGGGTCACAAGAATCTCTTTCAAGCACTCCCAAGATTGTTAACTCTGTGGTTTGACTTTGGAACCATTTATCAAACAAGTGGCTTATCATCCCAAAAGGATTTGAAGAATGTTCATGGAAAGGTGATCAGAAAACCTTGAAGTGATGTTTAGTTCCTCCTTTATTGTTCAGGTAAGCCCCTTTTTTCCTTTGTCTTATCTTTTCTTTCTTTCACAGGTAATGAGCATAATGCGAGGTTGCTTGAAAGATTTGCCAACATACCAGTGGTTAACAGTATTGCCTCAATTAGTTTCTAGAATTTGCCACCAAAATGAAGAAATTGTTAGGCTGGTCAAACATATAATTACGTCTGTTCTTCGTCAATATCCGCAGCAAGCGTTGTGGATTATGGCGGCAGTTTCAAAATCCACGATCCCATCTAGACGGGAGGCAGCTGCAGAAATCATACAATCTGCCCGAAAGGGGTTCAACCAGGGAAGTGGTGGCAGCAATTTGTTTGTTCAGTTTGCTAGTCTGATTGATCATCTAATCAGATTGTGTTTCCATGGGGGCCAAGCAAAATCTAAAACAATTAATATATCAACTGAATTCAGTGCCTTGAAAAGAATGATGCCACTGGGGATTATAATGCCAATACAACAGTCTCTTACTGTCAGTCTACCAGCATATGATGTGAATCTTGCTGAAACACTGCCATCTGATATTTTCTCTGGCTTGGATTTGCCTACAATATCTGGCATAGCTGATGAGGCAGAAATTCTCTCGTCTCTTCAGCGACCAAAAAAAGTATGTTATTAGGAAAACAAGAAGAGACATGTTGATTAGTACTTTCATTTTTTATCTTTCTGTACTTCCCAGTTTCATCTCATTTTTTATTTACTGAGTTCACATTTCAATTGGATCAAATTAATGTCAACCATAAGTGATGCGTGTAGTAAATGAACTGAACTTTCGTTTGTGTTAACATTGACTTCTATATGACAAATGAACTATTAAGTTCCATATGGCATGATCAGGAAAGTATGGATAACATTTATGTTAATTTTGGGGTTAATCTGTTTGGCATGCATAACTAATTCTTTCAGGCTGTTGCTCCCCATATGTTTAACTTGTCATTCCTCATTGTCCTGGAGATACCATTGACTGAGGTTTAATCTGTTAGTCAGTTGCCAACATTGTCTACTGAGGTAGTACTGAGTTTCCCCTTTTGTACTTTCAGATTGTTCTGTTGGGTAGTGATGGTGTTGAGCACCCATTCCTCTGCAAACCCAAGGATGATCTTCGAAAAGATGCTCGCATGATGGAGTTCACTGCAATGATAAACCGCTTACTATCCAAATATCCTGAAAGCCGGCGGAGGAAGCTCTATATTCGCACTTTTGCAGTGATTCCGCTAACTGAGGACTGTGGCATGGTGGAGTGGGTGCCCCATACACGTGGACTCAGGCACATACTACAAGACATTTATGTTACCTGTGGAAAATTTGATAGGCAGAAGACAAATCCCCAAATTAAAAGGATTTATGACCAGTGCCAAGGAAAAATGCCAGAGGATGACATGCTGAAGAACAAGATTCTTCCTATGTTCCCTCCGGTTTTCCATAAATGGTTCCTGACCACTTTTTCTGAGCCAGCCGCCTGGTTTAGAGCTCGAATTGCTTATGCTCATACTACTGCAGTTTGGTCCATGGTTGGGCATATTGTGGGTCTAGGTGACCGGCATGGCGAAAACATTCTC